CATAACTGTGAATGTCATTGTCGTAGAGTCTGATAGTACTGCTTACGGAACCTTAAGGTCTCAACATAGTTTTGTTACGAGAATGTGAATTGAGAATTTGTCATCTTCCTAAAACTTGGACATGTGGGAACTGTAGGCTCGTATTATTTCGACTGATTGTGAAGAGTTTAAATGCCGGGTTTTGTTCCCTATTTTGCTTATTGATGATGATTATTACCTTGATTGTTATGTTGCAGGTGAAGTTGGGAGTCAGAATGCAGGTCTTGTATATTTGGCTTCAGACAAACAATTGCTTAGGCAACTTAACTGGAACAACTTCTGTGGTGGATTTAAAAACAGTTCTATAGATTATTGTCTTTCTTTTTTTATTTTATTATTATTACTATTATTATTATTATTTTTTTTTCTGGGTGTTTTAGTTATGGTATAGATAGGTCTTTAACTGTGGTAAATGGTATATTCTGGTATGGTGTTGCCAAGGCTGTATAAATAGGGGAGTGTTTGTGTACATCTTTTGTTGGCACAGTAACCTTTTTTATTTAGTAGTACATTATCGTTTGATTTAAATAAAATAAAAATATTATAATTTTACTATTATTATTATTATTATTATAATTATTATTATTATTATTTTAGATAAACATTTCTAGCAAAGAAATGAATGCTTCAGAGCTGTATAACATAACTCCTCTTAATATAAGCTTCACCTATAAAAATTCACAATACTCCAAATCCACACACAAATGCAGGTAAATCCACCAAAAAGGGTCAAAATACAAGGAACACAAATAATCATAGAGGTGATAAGAGGGCCATCTAAATGAAAAATATATATATATAGTGAAGAGAAATGGTGATTTTTGGTCATATTAATTGAATTGAATTGAATTCAATAGTCTTGGGCTTCATCATCCTCATCATCCTCCACACCATCAGCACCAACCTCTTCATAGTCCTTCTCAAGCGCAGCGAGATCCTCACGGGCCTCGCTAAACTCTCCTTCCTCCATGCCCTCACCCACATACCAATGAACAAAGGCCCGTTTGGCGTACATGAGATCGAATTTGTGGTCTATACGCGAGAACACTTCTGCCACAGCAGTATTGTTGCTGATCATGCACACGGCCCGCTGCACCTTGGCCAGATCCCCACCAGGCACAACTGTTGGAGGTTGGTAGTTTATTCCACATTTGAAGCCCGTAGGGCACCTGTAAATGTAAAAATGCAAAACAAGATCACATTTTTCTGTAATAATTCTTATTCGCAGGGGCTTTTCTGCAATTAACATATTTGAAGTTCTTACCAGTCGACAAACTGGACTGTCCTCTTGGTCTTAATGGTGGCCACAGCGGCATTAACATCTTTCGGGACAACATCCCCACGGTACATGAGGCAACAGGCCATGTACTTGCCGTGCCTTGGGTCGCATTTAGCCATCATGCTCGATGGCTCGAAAACTGCATTTGTGATCTCGGGAATAGATAGCTGCTCGTGATATGCCTTGGCGGCTGATATGACGGGGGCGTAAGACGAGAGCATGAAGTGGATACGAGGATAAGGGACAAGGTTTGTCTGGAATTCGGTGATGTCAACGTTAATGGCCCCGTCGAACCTTAAAGAGGTAGTTAGGGAGGATATGATTTGGGAGATGAGGCGGTTGAGGTTAGTGTAGGTGGGGCGTTCGATATCTAACGACCTGCGGCAAATGTCGTAAATAGCCTCGTTGTCTAACAGGATCGACACGTCCGTGTGCTCCAGAAGGGAGTGGGTCGACAGCACGCTGTTGTACGGCTCCACTACTGCTGTTGACACCTGTGTTAAATGAGATCACACAACGTATTTGTTTGAGAATAAAAAATAATAAAACTTCAGTGGCTTGCTTAACAATCCAAAGGCAAATTTTAATAAGTGTTCAACTTAAGTTTAAGCACCTGGGGAGATGGGTATATGGTGAAACCGAGCTTTGACTTTTTCCCATAATCCACAGACAATCTCTCCA